GCTCATGGCATTGAGTCTTTCCAAAGTATTTAGTCTGATTTTTCAGAAAAAAAAAAAACTCCTTTCACTTCACATGCATATCTTATTAGTATTTGACTTAATTTAATTGCCTAATTAGACTAATGAGCCCAGCTGACTCTGGGTCATCTAGAACCCAGCTGTTGGGAACAGGTGTACAAGTAGCAAAAAGCCTAGCAGCTCAGGGTGAGGGAGAGTATGTTTTAAAAGAGGAAGTAGAGGGCCCTAGTTGATTAAGCAAGCCAGTTTACTCCGTCAACAGAGCTTCCTTTTACTTGTTATGTAGGCTCAATCCTTTTCAATGTGTTGTAAGTTTGTAAATGCTATTTATAGCAGAAAAATGTTAAATAGCCCTCAAAAGCTTAGTGTTAGGGTCTGTAAACAAGTCAGGATGGCGCCTGGCATTTTGCCAGAGGGAGTGGTTTGTGAAGTAACTCCAGCGAGCCATTAAGTGTGGAGATTTCTTATTGGTTGACTGCTGTATCTAGTTTATGTTAATTAAGATAAGCTGTGTATAATGTATATATACCCCTCCTGTCCTACAATAAACGGCTCCCACTCCTGCTGTATCAATGTACACAAGTTGCTCATCACCCCCCGGTTATTTTGCTGCAGCCGGACTGCGGCAGCTTAGATAACTTTTAACACTGGAAAGGGACTCTAGAGATCACACTGACTTAATTTGAAGTTGAAGAAATAGTAGATATAGACCATATGACTTACCCCAGTATATTTGATCAGATAATTTTGTGAATTTGAAATTATATCCCTGAGGCTCACAATGACCAGGTGATATCCTCAAACCTCAAAACTACTAAGTAGGAGACTTAGGGTGTGGGATCCAGTCCTCTGAGTCCAAATCCCAAGCCTTTACCACCATCTGTGGGCTGTTGAAGTTTGGCAACTCATTGGGGAGACAGGCACATAAAGATGGCTGCGATCCAATGGGCTGTGCACTGTGACAGACACTGGCGAGGGCATGGGGAAGCACATGAGGGGCAATCAGGAAGACCTTCTAGATAGTGACTTGACTGTGAGTCCTGACTAGTGCCTGATGAAGGTCAAGAAGAGTGTTTTAACCAAGAAGGATCAGCATGAACAAAGGCAAGGAAAAATGAATCAGGTTATATGAAACTCTGGAATGGGGAGGTTTGCAGGTGACATTGGAGAAATAGGGAAGCCCAGGGCATGGAAAATCTTGTCTACCATGCTCCAGGGGTTGACAGGGGAGCTGCTAGAGGACTCTGAGAACAGATTTTCAAGAGAGTTAGAGACCATCTCTTGTATTCCCATCCACAACTCAAATTTCAGGGGATTTTTTTTTTTTTTTAATTTAAACCTGTTGAGAGGTTTTAAGACTGATTAAACAAACAAAAACTCCACTGTATAACCTTCACCTATATTCACCATTTTTTTTTTTTTGTACCAGGGATTGAACTCAGGGGCACTTGACCACTGAGCCACATCCCCAGCCCTTTTTGTATTTTATTTAGAGACAGAGTCTCACTGAGTTGCTTAGCACCTCACTTTTGCTGAGGCTGGCTTTGACCTCGAGATTCTCCTGTCTCAGCCTCAGCCTCCGAAGCTGCTGGGATTACAGGCGTGCACCACTGTGCCCGGCTTCACCAATTTGTTAACATTTTGCTACATTTGCATTTTTAAAATACACACACACACACACATACACATACATACACACAGTTCCCCCACACATCTGAAAGTTTCAAGCATAACACTTTTATCTCTACATACTTTAGCATGTGTCTTCTGGGTACAAAGACATTCCCCTACATAGCCATGATATAATAATCAAATCCAGGAAATTTGACTACTACATAAGGCTTTTATCTACTCTATAGTCCATATCCATATTTCCCATGTATCCTAGTACTGTCCTTTATAGCTGCTTACTTTTTAAAAAAAATATTTAGTTGTAGATGAACACACAGTATCTTTATTTTTTTTTATGGGGTGCCGAGGATCAAACCCAGTGCCTCACAACATGCTAGGTAAGTGCTTTACCACTGAGCTACAGCCCAGCCCCCATAGCTGCTTACTTTTTGATACAGAATTATATATATTTGCTGGGGAGGAAGAAACCCACGGCCTTGTGCATTTTTAGGCAAGTGCTCTATCATTGAGCCATATCACCAGCTTCTTATTACATCTTTATGATTATTACCAGGTTAAATGGTTTTGGCAGAATATTACCACAGGTAACATTCCAATTCTACCTAAGATAAATTTTTTGAAATCTTTTTAAAAATTTAAAAAAATTCTAATATTCTTATTTTTATATATCCAGCAGGTTATTTATTGACAAGTGACTCTTGTCATCATGTCATGATTGAGGCAATAGGCTATTTGTACAGGTCACTTGATTTAAGGGAGACCTATCTGGGACCTTCTCATTCATCCATCCATGGAATCATGCAGTGAGTTTGTTTCACATTTCATAAATAAATATACTTCTGATTATTAACATTATGTAGTGACCTCTTGACAACTTTTGATCTTTTGCAGCCTTCTGAAGGAAATTGAGCGGACCCGAAGTAGGAGATTTTGGCCTCTAGGCATGTTACAGCAATCTCCTGAGGATTCTAAGAATGGCTCCTTATTATGGGAACACCTGCTTAAATTAGACTACCACAGTGCTCAGAGTTCTGACACAGTAAGCTCCGTGATGTGCATCAATGCAGCTAAGTTAACAAGGGCTAAGAGCTTGCAGTTAGTACCACATCAGATTTCGGATAAATCAAAGTATGCTATAAGGAAAAAGATCTCCAGTCCCATTATTTGTATTTCTGCTGGGAAAAAGACCCAAGAGAAGGCACAGAATAATGTCGAAATATGGAATAGCCCAAGAAAGGAAGCATCAAAGAAAAAGAAAGATTATACCGTAGAGGTTTTACCTTTGGGTAAAAAGAGTGCCTTAGTAAAGCTTTCAAAGCAGAGGATTTTGTCTGATGAAGGTACGAGTGGTGAAGGCCATGTCACTACAATTTACCATTCTCCCCTACTAGGGCCATTTACCACAAATGATTCCTGGCACTCCATGTCTGAGCTCATATCAGAAAAGTGGCTTTTTCATAATCCAGATTACAACTGGACTCCTCCAAAGAGTATTTTGAAGAGAAAATCTCAAGCAGAAACAAAATCTTTGAAGAACTCAACTAATAAGGAATAAAAACAAACCAAAACAAAACATTGTGGGTTCTTTGTGTAATCTTTTCCCACTTAAGTACTTTTAATTGTATATTTTCTTCTAAGACACTTAGGAGTAATAATAATCAAGGCCTAGAGATTTGATTTTTTTTTAAACCCCTTGAAATATTTTAACTAAAAGAACAGTTTTTAAGTGATTTATATTTCTATGGTATTGATCTCATATTGATCTCACAGGGTCCCATATCTAAAAATATAGAAGCAATGTTATTAAAGTTCTAATTGTGTTATTTTCACATTGCTATAGTTTACTGATTTTGAATTTATGGATTTTTCATCTAAACAAAATTTGTAATTGCTATCATCATACCTTTTTATCAAACTTAAGAAAAGTATTCCAGTTTATACATTAAAAACAGAGTTTAAAGTACTGAGCCCATGGATTTGTTATATTTATTTTGAGCATTTTATTCGCCTCCATTTTATCAGTGATTTGTAAAACATTAACCAGTAACTGGCCCCTTCACTCCTATCAAACAAATAAAACCTACCTACAGAGTTAGGAAGCATCTGGAAGGGGGCTTAGCTTTGTGACTTTAGGCAATTTATTTTACCTCTTTTAGCTTCTGTTTGATTATTTGTAAAATGAAATTATGGCACGGATTCCTCAAGATTACTGAGGGGAATGCATGTGAGAAGGCAGAGAACATCTTCGGTTAATGGCAGTTATTATTGTCACTAACTCCGTAGAGGTTTTACCTTTTTCCATGAAACATCTCCCCATTCCATCAGCCCTCTTGTGAGCATACACTAAGGCCTTGGTTTTTCTTAAACTGTGCCCCACCTATTTCACATATGGTAGTACCGTCTCCCTGGCAGAGTGCCAGCCTTGAGTTTTCTCCCCTTCCCCCAGCCCCTAGCGTCTGGCTTAGTGGTCACATGGGTAGCTTGGGAAATCCAGGGAAGTCCAGGGCGACACAGGTCTGTTCTGCAGGAGTAGAGTCTTGAGTCAGTCCACGTAGAAACGCACCTGGTGGGGAGGTTACGGTTTATTGGGCTTCTGTGGAACCACAAGGCACTGAACAGGTGCAGCTAAGCCCAGAAGCAGAGCAGGCATTAGGATGTAAGCGCGGGCTGGAGCTGGATGATGTGTCCAGAGGACCTCTCTCTAAGTGCAAATCTAGGGTGAGGCACCGGTCTTCCAGGCCAAGCATCCTCAGGGCAATGGGGTGCCCTTCAAACGTAGGGATTTAAGGGGCTGGAATGTGTGGGGCCTCTGGCCAGCCACCCCTTAAAGGGCGGGCCTGGATGGATCCAAGCTGGGAATGAGGGCTTGTCCTCGGTGGCCTCCACGATCTAAGGGCGGTCTAGACTTAAGAGGCCAAGAAGGCGGAGGAAGGTCACCTTCAGGACAGGGACAGAGCAGATGGGGGTGGGGGTTACACTATCCGTATAGCTAGATCTGGGGGACCTCCACAGAAGGCAGGAAGGAGGTGCAGTGGAGCGCGGCGGGCAGCACTGGGGTCCTATCTCGTGGCCCGGGGTCGGCGACGAGTCATCACCTTTCATGTGGCCTCCACACCACTGCTCGGCCACCTCCACACGCCGCAGGGTCAGGAAGTGACCGTGGCAGGCTGGGCGCAGAGCCGGGGCAGCTGCGGTCGCGCCCCGCCCCTGACTCCGCCCCGCCCAGGTCCCCTGCCCGCGGCCGCCGGAGGGCGGGGCCGCGCCGCCACGTGCTTCCACGTAGGGAGCGGCCCGCCCCGGGGCCGAGCGCCGACCCAGGCTGGTCCCGCCGCGCCACTTGCAGCGCGGCAGCCGCAGGCATGACCACTGCGGCGGCGGCGGCGGCGGTGGCCCGCGGTGCCGGGGTGAGGGCGGCGGCCGTGGCGGCCCTGTGGGGCGGTGGCGGCGGGACTGCGGCCGGGAGGCGGCCGCGCTCGGGCCCCGCTCGGCCCTTGTGCACCGCGCCCGGGACCGCCCCGGACATGAAGCGCTACCTGTGGGAGCGCTACCAGGAGGCGAAGAGGAGCACGGACGGTGAGTGCGGCGGCGCCCCGGGGTACCTCCCAGCCCGCCGGGGTACCTCCCAGCCCGCCGCTGGGAAGCGGGCCAGCTCGCACGCGGCGGCTCCCGCCGCTGACCTCCTGGGCATCGTGATCCTCGTACCCCCACCGTACCCCCGGCTGCGGGCAGCATCGTCTCTGCCCAGCGGCTTCGGGGAACGTGGAAAAATGCCACTCCAGAAACTTCGCAACTCTTCCCTTTCTGTCGGGAAAGATGTTTTGTGTTTTTCCTGGGATTTTTAGCTAGGAATCTGCATCGGTAGCCCTTTGGGCTGCCCGGTGGAGTCCAAGCCATCCGGTGGGGGACAGCCACCACTCCCCACACCGCTGGGTATTGTTATTGACCAGCAGTGACAGTGGCAGCAGCCCGAGCCTGGCCGGCGCCGGGCGGCTCTGGAGCGGGGCTGCGGGCAGGTGGCAGGATCTGGAGGCTGATCGCTTTCCTCCTGCGGGGGCGGGGGTGGGGTGGGGTGGGGTGTGGGCGGGAGGGATGTTCTGTCTGACCTGGGAGGGTCGGGTCGGGTTATCCACTAACCTCATTGAGGAAGGGGAGTGAATGAGCGCTTTGTGGCCAGGTGAACGTGGAGTGAGCTTGTTACTAAGGGAAACGGGGAGCGCAGGAAAAGGGGACCAGAGTGCCAGACGTGGAGGTTGATTGAGGTGCCCACATCCCATCTATAGATGGGAAAGGCGAATTTCACGTTTAAGACGCCAGGCCAAGGTGATGCTTTGACCAAGGGTCTGTCTCAGTCCCTAAACCACTGTCCTGTCTCCTATGCTGCGCTGATTTCCAGTAGCCACTGGCCACTTGGAAACTGGTTTAAAGGACCAGTGATAATCCACCTGCGTTGTGCTTTCAGGGAAGATTCCGAATTGATATTAAATATTGATTATTTGAGAGGCGGCAGTGGAGGTGGCACAAAAGAACATTTTATGGGATCATATTTTCCATCTTTTGGCCAGAAGTCAGTTTAGGGAAATAAAACCCATTTGGAATAATTTTCAGAGTGAATTTGAAGTAGTTAATGAAGATTTTTAAAGTTTCCTTTTGCCAAATTTTGCTTTGGCTTTGAAGCTGTAGTATGGTGTGATGGAAAGAGGACTCACTTTGGGGACATTGGGAATTACAGCTCTTAGAGATGAAAGAAATATAGAATATCATCCAGCCCAGCTTTGAGATAGGCAAGATTTTTTTTAATTGGAGTTTTTATGGAAATATCATGTAGTTTTAAGAGTTAATACAAAGAGATCTGGCATACCCTTCACCTGGTTTCTTCCAATGGTAACATTCTATAAAAGGACAGTACAGCATCATAGGGAGTATATACTGATAGCCCACAGGTTATTCTTACTAGTGTGTGTGAGTAATAGTTTGTCACAGGTAGGTTTTTGTCTCCACCATCACAATCAAGGTACAGAACAGTTCATAAGAATCCTTTATATTGTCTTCCCTCCTGATGCTGCCTTGTCCCCAGCCCCTGGAGTATTTACTGTTCTCCATTTCTGTTTTTGTCACTTGAAAAAGTTCACTTAGATGGAATCATAGAGTATGTAATCTTTTGGGACTGATTGCCGCCCCCCCCCCCCCCCAATATAATCCCCACAATTTTTTTTTTGTACCAGGGATTGAATACAGGGGCCCTTAACCACTGAGTCACATCCCCAGCCCTATTTTGTATTTTATTTAGAGACAGGGTCTTGCTGAGTTGCTTAGCGCCTTGCTTTTGCTGAGGCTGGCTTTGAACTCGCCATCCTCCTGCCTTAGCCTCCCAGCTGCAGGGATTAAAGGCGTGCTCCGCTGCGCCTGGCAGTCCCCTCAGTTTTATCCAGGCGGTTGTGTGAACTGTGGCAATGACACACTCCTTGTTAATGCTGAATAGTTGTTCATGCTGTGTGTGTACCACAGGTTAACCATTTGTTTAAGCACAATAAACTGTTTAACCATAGTTTGCTCATCCAAAGGACACCTGACTTGCCCCCAGTCTGTGGCAGTATAAATAAAGCAATTGTAAATATAAATTGTAAATATCATGTAGGGTTTTTTGTGTGAACATACATTTTTCATTTTTCTTAGTGCCCAAGAGTACAATTGCTGGGTTGAATAATAATTGCATCTTTAGTTTTTATAAGAACAAAGTTAGCTGCTTGCTGCCTGTGAGAACTGAAGAGGTCATGAAGCTGCGGTTTCTTCATCTGTGCTCGGGTTCTGGTGAGGAATAAATTAGTCCATCTGAGAAGGGTGTTCAGAGTAGTGCCTGCAGCTGAAGCGTTGGATGATAAAGATGAGCATGGGACCAGAGTTTGGGCTCTGGTGTGATGATCCACGGGGGTGTTGGAGGGTGACAGCCTGAGTACTCTCTTCCCTAACGGTAGTTTCCTCAGCTGCAGTAGGGAGGTTGAAGGGGGCGGGGTTTAGCTTGGGCTTGGCTCCCATCAGGTGCTCAGTGGAGAGTAGCTATTATTATTAAATATCTATTGGTCATAGATACAGATGGAGGTGGGTAATTTAGCTCTGGGTTCTAGTCTCCTTTGGCTCTGTGACCTTGAACCAGTGACTTAACCTCTCTTGGCTTTGGTTTCTCTGTAAAACAAGGCCACTGGATGAACACTGAGTTTCTTCAAGTGTTGCAGGTATGTTATGATGTACCCCATCCTCTCTTCAGGCCCCCAGCACCTGCACACAGGGCCATGAACTTGTTTTCCTTCTTTGTGCTGTCTGGGGCTGTACCATTCCTAGCCTCCTCCAGCTGAAATCTGCGTGAACCTACGTGCCCCCGGCTTGAGTCCATTCACTTACCATTTATTTAGCAGCCAGCAGTGGGTTTAAAGGCTGTTGATTCACAGATGGGCGCATCAGAGGGCCCCAGTGGCTGAGTACCTGCCTGGGCCCAGTGGTAGACCAGTGTTGGAAGGATGGTGAGTCTGTCAACAGATGAGTGACAGCCAGGGGCCTAGGTAGGGCCTGTGTCCTTCGAGATGCAGGGAATGCTTCCCTCTTCCTGAAGCTGACCCTTGAGTTGTGTCTTCAAGGAAGAAGAGGTCAGAAGGCATACTGATATTCATATCAAAATTCATATAGAAACATAGCAATTCTTTTCCCCCCCAAGTTACAAGAAGACAAAACAGTTTTATTTTCTTCCTTATTCTGACAATAGAAATTTATTTTCTGACTCTCTTTCTGGCCATCCCATCTCTTCCCCTAAGCCATAGCCCGTTCAGGTGTCTTCCTTTGGAGGGTTTCCAGAAGGAAGCCAGGCAGCCGAGGACCACTTTTTTCTTTTTGTTTTAACCCCTTCTCTCCCATTCTCCCGTTTACCCATTTAAAAAATTATTTTAAGATAACTTTATTTTTTTAGATTGTTCTGGATTTACAGATAAAATGTCTGGCTCCTGTAAACCCTGCGCCCACTTCCCCTGTTGTCTATCTCTCACTTTACTGTGGTGTGTGTGTTTGTGATCACTGCCAATATCGATACATTACCCATAGTTGATTCAGATTTTCTATATTTACTTGAGTGTCCTTTTTCTGTTCTAGGATCCCATCCAGGACTTCATTTAGTTATCATGTCTCCTTAGGCTCTTTGGACAAGTTAAGGACCTTTAAAGTTTTAAGGAGAATTGGTCACACACTGTAAAAAAGTCCCTCAATTGGAATTTCTTCTAATTTTTTTTCTTTTTCTTTTTTGGTACTAGAGATTGAACCCAGTGACACTCTACCACTGAGCCGCATTCCCAGGCCTTTTTATTTTGAGACAAGTTCTCACTGAGCTGCCCAGGCTGGCCTTGAACTTGAGTTTCTCCTGCCTCAGCCTCCCAAGTAGCTGGAATTACAGGCGTGTGCTACCATGCCTGGCTCCTCTTGATTTTACCTTGAGACTTTCCTAAGTATCATGTTTTATGTAGTTAAAGATGTTTATGCATATTTCAGACTCAGCCCAAAAGAAGGATTCTTTGTATTTTAGGAGAGGAAATTGCTTTTTAGCCTCTAGCAAAAGTGGTAGATGCTTCACTAGGACAGTGGTTTTCAGTGGCACACGGGATAGTTTTGTGACCCTCCTCACCCCAGAGGATTTTTTTAAAAATATTTTTTTAATTGTAGATGGACATAATACCTTTATTTATTTATTTTTTTATGTGGTGCTGAGGATCGAACCTAGTGCCTCACACATGCCAGATGAGTGCTCTACCACTGAGCCCCCCCAGAGGATATTTGATGATGTCTGGAGACCTGGGGACCTTTTAATTTGTCACAACTGAGGGAGGGCTGTGGTGTGCTGCCAGCCTCTGGTGGGTCGAGACCAGAGAAGCTGCTGAATAGCCACTGTGTGTAGGAGAAAGTTCCATAACAGACTTATCTCCAAATGTCAATTTATCTTCAAATGTCATTTGGCTCCAAATGTCAACAGTGCCAAGGTTGAAGAACCCTGTTCTAAAGTGCAAGTTCTAAGAAATTGCTGGGTGCCTAAAATTTAAAGGGCTGAATATGTGTTCTCTTATGCTCTATGTGTGGTGATGGTCGTCGTCTTCCTCCTCCTCTTCCTCTGTCTCCTCCTCCTCCTCTTCACTATCACTATCACTACCACCAGCACCACCACCACCACCACCGGGGATTGAACCCATGGGCCCTCCACCACTAAGCCACATCACCAGCCCTTTTTAGTTTTTAATTTGAGACAAGGTCTCACTAGGTTGCTGAGGCTGGCCTTGAATTTGCAATCCTCCTGCTTCAGCCTTCTGAGTCGCTGGGATTACAGATGTGTGCTACTGCACTGGCACGTATATGTATTCTTGTAGTGTAATCCCAGGCCTTCCATGTGTGCTCATTAGATACCTAGCCTGGCTGGGTACGTACAGAATGAAGCATCCCTGCTTCTCCAAGAGGGACTGCTCTGGTTTTATATTTGGAGATATATATATAAACTTTAGAAATAACATCAGAGACTGGGCTCTTTAGATTATTTGGTTAATTGCCCG